ATACATAAATCATGATAGCTACCAGCTGGTGACGATAAAAACCTGTTATCCCCGTTCCGAACTCGATCATAGTTATGGTGACTGGAATGAAATACGAATTTATTAATGTTCTTGGCTCTTATCGCCATCTACCGAGAGTTTTATTGTAYGCCGCCGAAAAACCGCTCAGTGAGCTATCTATAATATGTATAATCAATGTTATAACTCAATTGTAATATATTGACCGCCGTAAACACATTATCACAAATATTAATAGTCGATATTTAAATATTTTGGATTGTATTCATGTTTTATAATTAGGATTAGGAATAAGTATTTATAAATTATAAAATAAAAAACCCAACGGTGTTTTTGCAGTCTTTGCATTTATATTACAATAACAATAAATTCAATAAATTACTTTTTAAAATAATAATAGTACAAAAAATGATTAGGAAGTTACCTAAAATATGTATTATAGATTGCCATTTAAAAACATTAATGTTTCCATATTTTTTATGGAAAGTCTATTACGCCTGTCTGTTTGTGTGTATCCGGCTTTAGAAAACGTTCGTTCGCATGGAACTGATGTTGATGGCACTCCCAATCTTTGTAACATCAAATGGTATATATTTGGATATATACGTTTCATTTCCTTCCACCATACAAGAGGATCTGATTCCCTTGGGATTAAAGGCTCATTAAGAAATTTATCTAATTCCACAATTGCATCGGAAGTGTCAGTTCTCACTGTTGTAACTTCTTTTACCTAAAAAAATATAATATGTAATAGGCTATTTATTATCATAAATTATCGTTATTTGATAAATTGTTTAAAAATGTAAATTAAAATTCATACCTGTGAATCAAATTCTTTCCATATATCAAAGGTTTCTTTTTTTTCAGTTGACATAGTGATTTGTTCGTTATCTGTAACTATATTTTCTTCTTGATTAATAGATTGTTTTTTGCGTTTAATTATACTTGAAATCTTGCCCACGACGTTTTGATAAGAACGGATATAATATGTCTCGCTACTAAATCCTTTTTTTTTAAAACGTGGATCAATTAAAGTTGCTTCAGCAAAAGTATAATTGTCTTCCATACCGGCAAATCTGTTTTTGGCTTTATTTCCCATCTTTAAAATCATAGAATAAATTTCAAGTGGTAAGTTTTTCTCAGTTCTCATTGTTTTTATGTGAGATAACAATGCATTTGTGAGAACTATAACTTTGGAAATTGATACCCCTTTTTCCGAACTTAACTCAATTGTAACTTCTTTAAAAGGYTTAAAAAGTTTGCAATAATAATCCATTAAATTAAAATCTGACGCCGTCAACATTTCAGTCTTACCAATCATAGCCAAAGTGGATACTAATGGATCTTTTGTCTCTAAACACCTATTAAACATATCATAAGTCGAGTTCCATCTCGTTATCACATCTTGTTTCAGTTTTAGTACTGGATAATTCATCTGAATTTGTGTGTTTTTTAATTTTGCTGCTGCTTGAGAACTACGCTTAAAATGCTCTACTATTTTTTTAACTTTTTTATGTATTTCTTTAATTTCTTCTAACCCACATTGGGCTATCAAATTAATGCTATGCGCTAAACAAGGAATGTGTTTCCAATTTTTATTTGAACTTATTGCAGCTGTAATATTACTAGCGTTATCGCTAATAGCTATTTTAACTTTATTTACAATACTCCACTTTTCAAAACAATTGTTTAAAAATGTCGATAAATTGATTGCTGTATGTGATAATTCAAAATAATAGCATCCTAGTAAATGAGATTTTAAAACGCATAGTTCAGTATCAATAAAATGTACTGTAACAGCGACGTAACTTTCGTTATTAACAGATGTCCAACCGTCCGTACTCATCGCTATATATGATGCATTATCTAAACTCCTTTTAACCTTTTCCCTGGTGTTTTCTAATAATTGAGGTAAAATATTATAAGTAATTGTTTTTCTACTTGGCAAAGAATAACTTGGATTTAATAATGATACAAATATTTTAAACTCTTTATTTTTGACCAAACTAAACGGTTGGTATTCTTTAGCCATCATTATACCTAACTGCTCATCAATTTTTTTAGATTTCGAAATAGGCATCGGCCTTGATGTATACGCATCTATGGATACTTGTGTTTTTGTAACGCTAGCTGTTTTATTTTTAATTATAGGTGTAATAGTAGTTAAATTAGAATGGGAGGTTCGGATACGGAAACATTATCAGGTTCATCGATGTTTTTTTCGAGAATTTCAATAGATCTTTTTTTCCTGGCTTCGTATTGAACTATGTGTTTTCGTTTTAAATGTCTCGTTAAATTAGCCGTAGAACCCCCTTTATAAGAAATAGTATTAGAACAAAAATTGCATTTTGCTTTTTCACCATCAACCACTTCAAAATTATTCCACGTTTCACACTTTTTTTATCCATTATACCAAGAATAATATTACTAAATTACTTATTAATTTAATTTATAGAAAATATAAATGAAATGTAACTTACTATTTTGTCGTTTAATCAACTAACATTGACAAAATGTCTTATAAATGTAATATTAATAATTTTATGCAGTACGTGTTTCACAGCCGACCGTGTAGCACGTGTGTTCTTAATCGCGAGTGCGCATTTTATAGCTCCCGATAGCACATCATCGCTGGATCATATACACGGGTAATATAATACCATAGTTATTATTATGTAACAACCCACCTTATCGCACAATGAATAACGACAATAAGACGGTCAAACCGTCTAAATCGTCGGTCATTAGCAAACCGATAACGACAACGTCTAAATTACCAAACAAGACGAATTCAACATTAATAACCAAACCCAATAATACACTGTCCATACAACCCGCTCTTCGTCGCACAACCAACACATTTACGAAAACCCTCGCTACCTCCACGTTATCCACAAATACTCACCCAACACCTTCCTTGTCACCGTCGGCGACTTCTGCGATCCCGCCAAACGACACCAACAGCCCAATAAAACAAGATAACAATCCTCTTCAAAATACACGCCTCAACTATGCTTCAGTGGCAGCCAATGAGAATACCCCCAGCAGAGAACAGGCCCTTGTCTTCAACTCAATTGACGGTAAACCTCAAAGAGACTACATCGTTGCTATAGGCAATATAATCTCCCCAAAAAACATCGTGTTCGTATCCCGCATATCCAATAATCGGTTTTGTATTTTTCTTGCTAGTAAACAAATACTAGACTCTCTATTAGAATCAACTCAAACTATCATGATCAACGAACAGGTAATTCAAATCCGTAGATTAATCAATCCATCCAAGAGGATAGTCATATCTAACGTCTGTCCCTCCATACCCAACCAAGTTATATTTGACGCACTTAAAAATATCAATATCACCCCTGTGTCCCAAATTGCTTACCTCAAAGCGGGAATTAACATTGAGGGTTATGATCACATATTGAGCTTTCGACGTCAGTTTTATATCAAATACGAAGACGCCTCAAAGCTCCCCGGCTCACTGCCTCTACTACACAATCAAACAGACTTCAGGGTGTTCTTCACTGATGACAGAATAACATGCTTTCTATGCAAATCTACGGGACACACCTCGAATACATGCAAAAAAAACGACTCCAACGCCCTATCCTCTACTCAACCTACGGAAATGAACCTGGTGGTGGAACAACCCCCCTCTCCCCTCACATTCACTGACCTCTCAGAAACACCTACAGATACACCTATAACAAAGAATTTGGGAAACATTGGAACTCTGCCTGACACGCCCGAAGACCCTTCGTCCGCTTCCAAGAAATCAGAACATCCCGACGGATCAACAGTGGCCCCCACCACATTCTCTCAAGGGAGCAACGACAGCGAACCTCCACCACAAACCTCCTCATCTCTTCAGACATTCCAACACTCGACTCCTGACCCCCTCGAAAATCATGAGTCCCACCTCCCTTCATCCAACCATACCCAAACACTCCCACCTACTACCACAAGTCAACACCGGAGTCACAGTAGAACAAAAGCCAATCAAACGACACCTTTCAGATTCCTCGTCTCTCGAAGCAAATTCTAGACATTCTAGACTCAACTTCTAACACCTCTGGTAATGATCTCACAAAAAAGATACTAAAAAGAGCAAAAACCAATGTCAGGTCAAACTCATCATCTAGTCTCGAGRACAAAATACTTGAGGGGCTCAGACCAGCTAAGGAAATCTTTTCCAACAACTCCAACAGCTCCCCAGTATCCATGCTACAGTTCAAATATATTTTGGAAAACTATACTAACAAAAACATTAATATCCATAATCTATGTAAAGAGATTGACTCTGACATTCCATCACTTATGAATCTTATCGAGGAAATACGTCCCAAAATCAACAAAACCTTCCTCAAAACCCATCTCACCAAACTTAGCAATCTACTGTTCCAAGCGTCCCCACCTCAAGATGCTTGAACACTCACCTTATGCCCCAAATGTCACTCTTAAWTCTTTTACATTACACATCAAGCACCTTTAAACCACCAGCCCAAACCTTCTTAAATAATTCAGATGAAAACAAAAATAATTCAATGGAACATAAACGGGTTCTTCAGTAGACTTGAAGAGCTCCAGATCCTAACCAAAGAACTAAACCCAACAATAGTATGCATCCAAGAAACCAATTTTAACGAAAAAAGCAATCCCACATTCAAACAATACGACATCTACAAACGTAATCGCCTCACATGCGACAGAGCCAGTGGTGGAGTCACAATTATGATTAACCAAGACTTCCCTAGTGTCGAATTCCCTTTAACCACAGACCTTGAGGCAATTGCCGTTTCAGTCAATCTACCTCACACAAAGCTAACGATATGCAACATATATCTCCCAAACCACAAGGATTTCTCCTTCCAAGACATTGAACGCATCATACATCAACTACCCAACACATTTATTTTAGTTGGTGACTTCAACAGTCACAGCGAGACATGGGGATCTTACAAATCAGATCACAGAGGGAAAATCATCGACGAATTACTTACTCATGATAATCTGATRCTTCTCAACAACGGACAGCCCACAAGAATCAACCCCATTAATGGACTATCCTCTGCAATTGACTTATCCATCGCAARCACATCTCTTTCGCATAAACTGGAGTGGTGTAMCTTACCATATACTATCAACAGCAGTGATCATATTCCTATACTAATATCCATTAACTACCCACTCGACGATACACACTTGGTTTATTCTCCCCGTTGGTCTATCAGGAAAGCTAATTGGAATCTCTTTTCAGCTCTTATAGAAAAAAAAATCTGAAAACCTCCCCACTTCGTCTCCAGAAAACATAGATGCAGACGTTAAGACTTTCACCGACATGATAACAGAAACAGCCTTAATTACAATAGGCATGTCTAAGAGCAGCTCCCCAAGACCTCGTKTCCCATGGTGGAATGACGAGATAAATAAAGCCATAAAAAACAAAAATAAAGCTCTCAAGAAATTCCAAATTACCCTATCACAAGCTGACTTCATTAATCTAAAAAGGACCAGAGCCCTYACCAGATATCTGGTTAAGAGCAGCAAATCCTCGTCGTGGAAACAATATATATCTAGCATCAACAATCAAACTGAGTCTTCAACTGTATGGAAAAAAATCAAATCCATTAGAGGAACCAACAGAAATACTATCAATTTCCTTACAGACTCCCACACTACTTCATCTCCAAAAGAAGTAGCTAACAYCCTGGGGCAGATGTTTCAAAAGAATTCAAGCAACTCAAACTATGACCGGGAATTCTTATCCAAGGCACACTTATACAACAACCCAACAAACTCAGTCAACCTCCATAGTAATGACCAAATATATCTCAACTCACCTCTACTTATTACAGAACTGGACGAAGCTCTCCGTAATTGCAAAAGCAAAAGCCCTGGCCCAGACGGAATCCCCTATCTATTTATACAAAACCTCCCAGCGAACGCAAGGATCCATTTACTATCAATATATWACTCAATCTGGAACAACAACTGTTTCCCCATCGTATGGAGGCATGGTCACGTCATTCCCATTTTAAAACCCGACAAAAATAAGTTTTTACCCGATAGCTACCGTCCTATTTGCCTTTTAAACACGCTATGWAAACTTCTTGAGAAAATAATTAATAATCGCCTAATGTGGTACTTGGAAAAATCTAATTTTATCACCCCTGAACAAAATGGATTTAGACGTAATCGAAGCACTACCAAAAATATTCTAAACATCAAAAAAGAAATACAAACAGCCCTAAACTACAATCAAAGCTTAGGATTGATTAGCTTCGACATCGCTAAGGCATATGACTCAGCCTGGAGACCTAGAATTATTCACAAGCTCAACAAAATTCTAACTAAAGGCAACCTTTTGATCTTCATAAATAACTTTCTCGGCTCCCGTACTTTTCAGGTTAAAACTTCCAACGCCCTATCTGATACATTTACTCAAGAGAATGGCGTACCCCAAGGATCTACCACAGGGGTCACCAACTGGCGGACCGCGGTCCGGATACGGACCTCGAGCACTTTTTTTATGGACCGCGAGCTCGTTTTCATTTTACATTGATTAAGTTCATACGCGCCAAACCGGCGAGGGAAACGCGCCGTCGTCGGAGTGACGCGTATGAATTTGACCAATTTTTCACATTAAAAATGAAATATTTCAAACATAATCTTTTTTTTTGTAAATTCAATTTAAATAAATAAATAAATTTAAATACAAATTTTAAAATGTATATACCTATTTATTAATGTGTGTAAAATACAATGTGAATAGATAAATAAATATAATCACAAATTTATAAATTATGTCATTGAAACTGTTTGGACCGCGTAAAGTTTGGTAAGTTTCAAAACGGACCCCCATAGAAATTAGTTGGTGACCCCTGATCTACCATTTCAGTGAAGCTATTCCTAATCGCCATCAATGACATTTCCGAAGGAATACTCAACCCCAACATTCCCCTATTATATGCCGATGACTTCAATATTATATGCCGTAGCACCAGCAGCAACACTATCCAACAATTGCTACAA